GCTGGGAAAAAGTTGACTGAGCAGCAATACTTATAAAAAAGGACTTCCAATTTTTGTTAACTATAATCTATGTAAAAGAGACTATGATTTGACATGGCTACTAAAAAGTTTATGCAACCTTGATAGGACAGTGCAAGGATTAAAAAGAGGAAGGGGGGAACTATAAGTATATATGCTCGACAACATTTGGATTCTGGTGTTTATTTTCAAGTATAGGAGATACAGTAATACAGTGGAATAAACCTAGGAGAAAATGATCAGGATAATGAAAATATCTGGAAGGTAGGCCACATGAAAATCGGCTGAACAACCAGAGAATATAAGACTTTAGGAGAACTGTTCAAGTAGGCTTCAAATACTTGAAAGGTTACCTTACATAAAGAGAAAGGAATAAATAAATACTTGTCAAATGCCTATCTCTATGCCAAGTGTTTTTCAAATCATTATATAATCTTCATCACAATCCTGGGAGGTAGTAGTATTATTTCAAAGTTATTAATAAAACAAAAGACAGAATAAACACTGAACTGCTAAAGAGTATAGAATAAAAATCAAGTGGAAAAAATAATGCAAATGTCCATCAATAGCAGAATAGATAAACTGTGGAGCATTCACAGAATAAAGTATTAGACAGCAGAGAGAATAAAATGTGAACTACAACTATATACAACAACATAAAGGAATCTTGTAAACACAATGTAAAGCCAAAAAGCCAGACATGAAAGAGTTTATATCATATGATTCCACCTACATAAAATTCAAAACAAAACTAATTCATGCAGTTAAAAGTCAGGATAGTGATTGGGGGTAAGGAATGGTGAGGGGAAGGCAACTATGATAGTGTTGGGATGAGAAAGAAGCACAAGTGGGCTTCTAGGGTACTGCTTACACTTTGTGAAATTTTCCTTTTGTGAAAATAATGTTGTTATTAAAGATTTATACAGTTTCCTGTATATATTTCAATAAAAAGTTCACTTTAAAAAATCAGTAAGTAATAGTTACAGGCAATATGATTTTAGATAAATGTGAAGTGAAAACTGTCAAAATGAGTTAAAAAAAAAAAAAAAAAAAGGTAGTAGCCTGATAACAAGAGTCACCACAAGTCTTCATACAATAGTAACACAATGATCTGAATGAGATTCTTGAATTGTGTCAGAATAAAGTTGTTCCCAAACACCAGCATGCATATAGGCTAAATCAGAATTAAAAGCACAGTGCCTAGCACAAAGGAGCCACTCAAAAATATTTGTGGAAGGAATGAAGGTAGGGTGAAAAGAGAGAATTAATTCCTAGCCCCATCCATAAAGATTCTGATTTAATCTATTTGGAATGACGCCTGAGAAACTTTCTAAAAATTTTTTAAAGTTCTCCAGGTTATCTTAATAATAGCCAAGTTTGGGAACAATGGTAAATGGGCTCTCAAAATTATGAAATATTCCTGCTATCTAGCTTAACATCTAGCATCTAGACCAAAAAGCAGTGGAAATCATCTTCTTGGCCTCTTTTCTCAGACTTGCACCATCATGTGGGGCTATAAAGTTATCAATCTAATGGTGACGAGACATAAGAAATGTTAACCCAAGTTAAAAAAAAAAA